AGGGGGAAGCCCTATCAACTGCTGATAATAAATCAAGGATGAGGAACAAGAAGAGAGCCTGCATTAGCAAAGGCAATAAAGACAAGGTAGGGGGTATCACAGTCCCCAACTTGAAACGATACCACAAAGCTACTGCGATAAAAACAGCATGGTACTGGCAAAGAAACAGACCCGAGGACCAGTGAAACAGATTAGAAGATGCAGAAACAAGTCCACACACATTCAGCCACCTCATCTTTGACAAAGGAGCCAAACACCCTCTCTGGAGGAAAGATAGCCTCTTTAATAAATGGTGCTGGAAAAACTGGGTTTCAACTTGCCAGAGTTTAAACTAGACCCTTATCTTTCACCATGTACTAAACTAAAATAGAAATGGATTAAAGATCTAAATATTAAAACAAAAATTCTAAACCGGCTGGAAGAAAGGTTAGGTAGAACTCCTAAAGACATTGGCATAGGGAAATATTTTATGAACAAAATCTCAGTTGCGCATGAACTAGCACAAAGAATCAACAAGTGGGATCTCTTCTTATTAAAAAGCTTCTGCACAGCAAGAGAAACCACCAATAGTGTGAAGAGACAACCCACAATGTGGGGAAAAATTTTTCACCAGCTGTTCCTCAGACAAAGGTCTGCTATCTAGAACATATAAAGAGCTTTAAAAAATCAGACCTCCCAAATGTAAAGAACCAATCCAAAACTGGGCATCTGAAATGAACAGACATTGCACAAAGAAATAGAAATAGCAAATAAACATATGAAAAAATGTTCAACATCACTGGTCATTTGAGAGATGCAAATGAAAACAAAGCTGGGATTCTACCTCACCCCAGAGAGAAATGGCTGCTATCATGAAATCAACCAATAACAAATGTTGGCGGGGCTGTGGGGAGAAAGGAACCCTGCTCCACGGCTGATGGGTTTATAGACTGGTGCAACCACTGTGAAAATCAGTATGGAGAGACCTCAAGGAACTAGTATTGGAAGTCCCATTTGACCCAGCTGTTCCCTCGCTAGGTGTCTTCCCCAAAGAATTAAAAGAATCATATACCACAGTGATATATGTGCATAGCAGCACAGTTTGTAATAGCTAAAACTTGGAAAAAGCCCAATTGCCCATCAACTGGAAACTGGATAAAGAAAATGTGGGTTTTTAAAAAAATAAAATGGAGTACTACTCAGCCATAAAAATGAGGAATTAGAGACATTCATAGCTAAATGGATACACATTGAGGTCATACTCTTAAATAAATAGGACACACATGTATAAGTACCAAATAGTTTTTCTGGTGTGAGAACTGAAAGGGTAAATAAAGACTGAAAAGTGTAATAGACAACGTGAAATAGGAAGAAAGGGGGCAAAGGGGAAGGGAAGTGGGAGTGGTAGGGGAAAGGAAAGAAGGGAATGGAATTAAGATGACAAAATGAAAAAACTGGAAGCAAAGTCTTTGTAAATAGGGAGGGGTAGAGGGGTTGAAGGGAGAGCAGGGAAATGGGGAAAAAACTAAGAACCAAGATTGATTACCTAAAGGTACAAATTTCCAATGATGAATGTCATTATATTGTATACCTAAAATGTATCAATAAAATTAATTTTTTTAAAAGTCAAGGAGAGGCTTCACCTGAACTTGGTTCCTCTGAATTCAGCTCAGGATGATCAGCCATTCAGGTACTCGGGAACCTTTGGAATCATGATACAAATGGGTCCAGCCACTGCTAAAGTTGGTAACAGACCTCGATGTCATCCATGTAGTACTGCTGATTTTACAGACATGCAGAATGCAAGAGTTGAGGGGTCGAGGAGGCTTTCACTAGATCTCAGAAGAAGGCCAATGAGGCCAGGCAGTGCGCCCCTGAGAAGACTGTGTACGCCGCTGCAATAGTGAAGCCAATCTTGCAGTGGAAGCCCCAGGAAGTTGAAGACACCAGGAACAAAGAATGGCTGCTGAGGAAGGCCCCAGGCAGTGATCAGTCATCCCAAGAGAGAAACAATGAGGGCTAAACCTGCAACACACTAGCAGCAGGGCTGCCCAAGCAAGTTGGAATTCACGTCTTTGCTGCAGGTGATCTCTTTTTTTCAAGAAAGAGAATAGAGATGCTGAGAAATAGTATGCTATGTTTAGGAATTCCGATGCTCCTTCACTGATGATGGCTTTATGTCCCAGTAAATCCAACATTGCACAAGCTTCTGTAAAATTGTCAAGAGAAAAGGAATACAGAAAAAAAACACGGCCTATAACTGCAACTGTATACATATTTTTGGTGCATGTTTCTATTTTGAAGTTTCTAACATTGTTTTTTGCTCACCTAAATTTTCAGCAAGAAGACAGTAATTGTATTATATAAAACAGAAAATTATTTAGGGTAAGATTAAAATATGAACTAGTTTAATAATTTATCCAAGCTATTCACACCAATGTTTATACTTTATTTTTTGCATTCAATTATTGAATTTCATGTCATTTCTATATGTACAGATTTGCAATACGAATTGTGATTTAAATTACCTGGACCTGACAGTGTGAAATAGGAAGAAAATGGCTAAAGAGGAAGTGGGAAGGGGAGGGGAAAGGAAATAAGGGAAAAGAAAAAATGGAAACAAAGTCTTTGTAAATAGGGAAGGGTGAAGCGGGTGAAGGGAGGGCAGGGGTGTGGGAAAAGACTAAGAACAAAGACATATCATGTAAAGGTACAGGACTGCGGGCCAGGGATTTGGCTCAGTGGTTCTGCTGCCTGCCCTGCAAGCAAAAGGGCCGGAGTTCGATCCTTGATACCAAAAAAAAAAAAAAAAAAAAAAGCACAAGATCCCAATGATAAATGCAACTGTACTGTTTGCTTTAAATGTCTCAATAAACTTAATGGGGGAAATAAATAAATAAATAAATTGCCTGGACCTATAAAAATTTCTATCAAGAAAACTGCAGAGCTACTCAATTAATCTTTAATGCACTAAATAATGACTTGCATTATCATTATGGTTGTATTTTAAACAGGGTCAACAATGTAAATGGTCCAGATGATTGAACATGAATTTATAGGTTCAGAAACTAATGGAATAAATTATTTCTGCAGTCATATTTTATGTAGATTATATGATGATAATCTCAATTCTTACCCAGGCAGACAGTGTGTCCCCAAAACAAATTACTACTAGTGGAAATTTAAGAAGCAACAGTGTGTATGTGTTAAATCTGGGCAAATCTACTTGACATGTAATGAAGTTTCCCCTATTGTCTAATGTTTGTAATTTAACACAGTGAGTCAAATTGAGAAATATTTCAATGAACCAAGAAATGAATATAAAAAAAGTCAAGGAGGATGAGGACAAAGAAGCCAGGAGCTCACAGCAGGCTGTTGGGTGAGTAAGCTTAGAGAGAGGACACCATAGAGAGAGAGGCAGAGGTACATTCAGTGCTCCAACACATTGTTCAGGAATTAATACTTTGCCCTCAGGCATGGAGTACTGCTGAAGATTTTAAGTAGAGGCATAGGGTAATCAGATGAACTTCGTCCGGATTATTTGTTTTCACATTAATTTGTGTGTGCTTTGATTTGTGTTTATGCTGAACCAAGGTTACTCCAAATTTTATTCTTTCTTATGAAAATTCTCATGCAAGCTGAAAACCCCAATTTTTCTGATTTCCATGTAATTTATGCCTGGACCTGCTTGAATATATATATATATGGTTGGAATATATATATATATGGTTGGTATTATCTAACCTGGAGTTTTCTCAACCTAGCATTGTTATATTGGGTTAAATAATTCTTTGTCGTGGGCCCTGTTCTGTGCATTACAGGATATTTAGCAACATATTCTCTGGATGCCAGTAGCACTCCCAGTTAAACATTGCCAATAGTCACCTCCAGTTAAGAACTCCTGAGTAGCATTCTATCTGTTGCAGCATTTGAACCCAAAAGCTTAAGCCATGTTTGGTAGACCACCCTGAAGGAAGTCTGGCCTAAAGAGGGGGACTGATGCCTAGTCCGTGTTGCAAGTTACAAATCAGATGATGCAGAGAAAGAAATTCAAGGCCTCTTTTTGTTTTAGCTGATTCATTACATTTCCGTCTCTGTCTTCAGTCTCCTCCTTGAAAAGAGATGGTATCGCGAAGACAGGAGACAGAAGAAAGGGACCAACAGGGCTCCTCCTAAGGCTAGGATTCCTGAGATGGCCCAGGGCCAAAGTGGGCCTAAGAGTTAGGAGGCCACCTGAGGGTGCACCAGACATGATAGCGAGACTGGCTTCTCAGAGGTAGAACTCAGAAGAAGCTTGTCTCGCTAGAGGAAGTGGGGGCGGGGCAAAAGTGGTTTTGCTTCTAGTGTTGTCAAGGGGGGTTGGTGAAACTTTGGAGATGTGAGAGGGTCACAAAAGGGCAACTTGGAGTAGACTTGGAGCTCCGATGAAGTTTACTTCAGATCCTACCTCTTACAGGAAAGTCTTAAAAGGTAAAGGAATGTTTGTCTTGGAATAGGGATGCCTAAAACAGACCAGATGAAAAAAGTTGAGATCTTTTCCCAGTTCCCCTTCTGGATTTATGTATATGGACAGGGTGACAGGACAATGGATTTTAGGTATATGGCACCATTTTTCCTATGTTGATAAGGAAAATTTAGTTAGGACTCCTATCAAGCTAAAAAAAGTCTAACACTATTAAACTAAGATTGTATCGTAACTGGCTCCTATTCTGTAAAATAGTTTTTTATGTCTTTGCTATGGATATTGAGTGACTTGACTCATTATTAGCAATGGCTCCCAGCTGCCTTGGTGACATCTGTCATTGTTTAGCCAAGTGGTGGTCACTTTCACTGAAGCTGAAGGAAATCCATTTAGGTTTTTATCTTTAGTCTCATATTCCTTAAACTCTCTTTTATTCTTATTCATCTGCTTTTGGAGTGATGAACCAACCAAGCAATGAGTAATAATAAATGGACGTCATGTGAAATGCTATCATAAGAAAAGGCATCCCTAAACATGAGTTTTCCCTGGCTCATTTCAGGTGCTTCTGGATCCAGTTGTGTGATTGCTGCACTAGGAAACACTTGGAGTCACATTGTGAACACCCGACTGATCCTACAGCACCTTGATTCGGAGAGAAGACAGGTATGTGCTCTGACCATGTTCCATCTACGTCAAAAGTGAGATGTTCCTAGAGATCAGAACATCTTCAGACAGTGTTGACCACCTCTTCTTTCTGGGCTGGCACTGGCAAGGGGAACATAAAGAAATCCAGCCTGCCCTAGCAGCATTTATAATACGGTGAGAGGCTTGTCACACTGTGTAAGAAGAGAGTCCCCTGAGTAACTGTGAATGACCAGGACCACACCTCTAGGGATTTCAAATTCTCCATCTCTAAATGGTCATTTCACAATAACTTGTGTGTAAATTAAATAGTGATTGTGGCTTTTCTTGATGTATGTATACTTTGAAAACTTTAGGCTAAACTGATCCTATCCAGATTCTGGGTACTTATATGTTAACACATAATGATGCCAGAGAGACCAACCAGAGAATGAAGTCTTCCTCAGCACTCCCTGTTTATGGTTTCTCTCCTGGGCCCAAAGTAGAATCATCCTCTTTCACCCAAGAAGGTAAACTGTCTAACCCTTTCTGAATCTTTTCTCTATACTCAGTAAGAGAGACACCACAGCATGATCTCTTTCATAATCAACCAATGTCTTCTTCCTAATGTCTTACCTTAACCTTCTGTATGACAAAATTCAATCTGGTCCTCTCCTACAAGTAGGGCAAGGAAGAAGACAAGGTGAATATTCTTATGTTTTAGATGGGGCCAAACTCAGAAGCCAGATTTACCCATGTTGCTAAATATATGACAGATCCAATTTCTTAAAGAGGCATGAACTATCACACTGGTGGTCCTTCCAGAAAAGATGGGGGCAGAGTATTGTTGCCTTTACCTGCATTAGGTAAGTTGGCTCATTTTTCAAGGAGCAAGAATCATCTAAAAACGGGATGAGCCTTGACCTGTTCCAGACAGAACTTTATGAATGTCCTTGGTTACAGACCAGAGGATTCTTGTTGGTTTTCTTGGGACTATGTAAGTTACATTCCTGTTTGGTGATGGGTAAGCCCATTCCTAAGAAGATAGTACAGCTTGTTTTTGTTCAGGGAAACATTCTTGTTTTCAGGCCCTGGCGTGCTCATTACCTCAGTGATACTTTTTGCCTGATGATTCAGGTATTCTGGGTTCTCAGTCTGTTACTGTTCTTCTTGGCAGCACACATCCAGAAATATTCCTGGAGAACCTAGTGGCCTTTGATTTGTACCCTGGATGGTAAAGCAGGATAAATAAAACTGCTTACAGCTGTCAGGTATATCATAATGATTGTCAAACACTATTCAAACTCTAGTAGAGGAAGCAAAATTCCTTATGAATCAATGTTAATTCATTCATTGTCATGAATCTTTGGCCTCACTTCTTGGAAATCCACAGTTTATCTCGGCTTTAGATTTTAAATGGCGCTTTTACTGCAACATATTTGATGTATGATGTGGTCTCTGGTATGTGGTATCATAGGTTCAAGGCTCCCAGATTCTTCTTTTCCTAGTTTCAGTTGAAATTTATATATATATAAAAAACTTAGAGCCACATTTTCCTTTTCCTTGTGATTACTTAACTAGTCACTTCTACATTGTCAGTGAAGAGGATATAGCTGGGAGAACAAACACTGTTCTTTTTCATCTCTTTAGAAACTGGAGAATTTTGGTAGCTCTTGGCTCTTTGCTGATGAGCTCAAATGCAGGCCACTGGCCACAAGAAGAAACAGGAGCAAAGAGTGGATTGATCACATCCTGTTAGATGGATCAGTGGTGTTATTTTAATCTACAAAGGACAACTTGTTACTCTCATTACTAATCAGTCAGGAGCAGACTGAGATGCCTTTGAGTCATGTTTTCAAACAATGATTTGCAATGAATGTAAAATATGACCAGCAGTAAAATAGCCAACCCAGTCAAAAGAACATATGTTTAACTACTTATAGAAATAAGCATGCTTTAGGGGACTAGTTGTTAAGTGTTTGACCTAATAACGAGGCTACAGTTTGATATATAGAAAACATGTCTCTATCTGATGACCTTATCTTGCCTTAGCTAGGGCCATGCTTAATGATTCACTGTGGTCTAACTTTATGACAAAGAATACAAGTTATAAGATAAGCTGTTTTGGTGATATGTACAGAAAACAGTACATTACAACTAGCCTTAAATATAATTGTACCAAATGCTACTTCAGTATAATACTACTTAGTAGAAGAGCATTCTAGAACAGCCGTACCTTGGAGACACCAACTACTTGGCGAGGATAGGAGTGTAGTTTTTTGTTTATTGGATTTTTTTCCATGCACAAGCAGAGACCTCTACCCCAAGGGATCAGGGTTATTGAACGAGAATTATGTTTGATCCCATTTCTGTGACACTGAGCTCTCTACCAAGGTTCTTGAGTGTTGAGGCTTAGTGTGGGTTTACAGGGCTGGAAGAAGGTCATGTGAAGCCGAGCTGATCTTTGAGCCAATTAACCCAAAAGCTGAATTGTATAGTCCAAGGGAAGGAGTCTTCCATGGCTGATTATTTTCCTTACACCCTGGAAACTTTGTAAAATTATATAACTAAGAAAGAAATCTCCTTATCAGGGCACAAACCAAGTTAATTCCTTTGCTTATTTTGCTTCAGTATTTGCAAAAACCCTCTTAAGAAGCCAGGAAACATTTTCATTTGGGCTAACTTAACTTTTTTCCCCTTTTGACTTTTATTCACTCTTTTCCTATTCTACTTCCATCCTGCTTCACAATTTTCGCCAAAGTCATGTTCTTCAAGTAGAATTAAAATGGCATCATCAATGAATGGTTAGAAACAATAACTGCAATGAATCCAAAGGAAGGTAAAAAAATTAGATTCATATTGAATCTCTCCAAGAGAAGGTGAGGGCTGATCCTAAACCAGTAGTACTCAAGCCTGGCTTCATTTCAGACTTACCACAGGAGCATTTACAAAATGCCATTGCCTGGGCCTCACTGTCACCAATTAAATAAAGAGCTCTACTGCCGGGCAAATTGGGGCGGTGCCAGGCACCCAGTGTTCATATTAGTTGTGAAGCCAGCCCAAGTAATTTTACTGTACAGCCAAGTTTGGGAGCCCTTGCCTTAAGTAATGAGTGCCACTGGGTTGGTTAGAAAGGAAAGATATTGAAGCACAGAAGAAAAGCAGGAGAGCAGCCATATGCTTGGGTGCTACAGGCTAGGTTTTGCCTTGAAACCAGAGCAGAAGTTCATGTGCTCAGTGAACCTTGATTTAATCATCCCCTTGTCTGCTAGTTTCTGTGTATGATGCTAGAGAGTCAAAGGATGAGGAAAGTAGTTGATACCCTTGAGTTGTTCACTGTCTACTTGGAGAAGTGTAACAGTGTTAAGAACATGTGCTGTAAGGGTATCAGGAATTGAGTGGTCATAGAGGAACTGGAGGACTCGACCCCTAAAGAAAGTTCCCAGGTGTTTACAGAGCAGCGCCATGTGCTCAGAGGGACTGGTTGATGCCTGCATTTGGGAAACTGTCACAGTAACCAGGTATCCTGTGGTGAGGGACCAGAAAAGCTTGAAAAAATGAAGCAAAAGCCTGATGAAACATTCAGAATATTTCTCTTCAAATTCTCATGAAGTATGTTCCTACAAACCATATTTGGAGTTATATAAATTTTGAGGTGCCCAACAAGGGATAATGGAATAAATTAATCCTAACTAAGTCTCACACTCTCTTGATGAAATATATATTATGACTCTCTTATTTCAACAAATGGGAAGGAGGTGACTTCTTCATATAGTAAGTTAAATGGGCTTTCTAGTAATATTTTCATCTTTTATTTAGAATGACCCTGAGTTGCAGAACACTTGAGGGATGAGCCAGAGAGTTGTTGACAACACCAATGTTATTTCTTAAGCTCCTGATCCTGACTTGGATCCATGGGCTTCTTACAGAGTCCCAGATTTTGCATCTTGGAATTATTCAATGTGTTCTTTAAGGTGATAAAAGTATTCTCTCAGTGTCCATTTATATTTTCAGTTCTTACATACCTTTAAGCTTTGAATCATGTATCCCTTGAGATCCATGACTGAATCTATTCATGCATTCTCAGAGACAAGGACAAGGCTTGACATTTAAACACATTTGATACATTTATTGGAATGAAAGAGAAAAAGAGAAAGAAACAAATACCATGTACCTATATGTGAGAGTCCAGTCTTGAGGAATCCAGACATACTGCTGATTAAGATTCATTCTTCTGCCTGGAATTGAGCTTTGCAGCTTAATAGTTCCTTTAAAGTACTACTAATTGTCAGTTTAAAAGTTTAGCATCAAACCTTGAGAATTACAAGCAGGTATCTGTATAGAAATGCCACCATGGTGCTAGAATGTAGGAACACTTAGTTGCAGAACCAGTTTGCTAGGGTCTTTGGGAGAAGAGGAAACAAGCTTCCTCTAGACTCCTACCAGGAATTCCTTTGTATAAGCAAGAGTGAGCCCTAAACAAGGACAGAGACCAACTAAGGGAGGGTTCCTGCAGCTGTTTTTAGAAACAGGCAGCAGGAGGACTTAGGGGTGGAGGGGACAGAAGTCTTTGTTGCCCTCTTCCATGAGTATTAACTTCTCTGTGTGGTTGAGAAGGCTTAATGGAGATCAGAATAACAAAAGAAAAGATGATAAAAGTTTTCTCCAATAGGCTGAAAAGTAGATTTGGGGCAAAATGCCCATGTTCACTCAAAGAGAAATGTTGTTTACACAAATATTGGACATGATGTTTACCTGATGTAAGCCTTAGTTCTATGTCTCCGTATTCCTAGATTCCTCCAGAGAAGGATCAGGTCTAGGTTTCGTGATTCAGATGTGAATCCTTCTTGCTTGGCAGAATGCTTCCAGATCATCATGTTCTCATTTTTCTACCTCAGTTCATCTGCTGTTTTTAGGCACAGAGACTTTCTTAATGACTGGATCCAACCAGAGGAGAGTTTGGCTGTGCTATAGAGATGGGAAAAAATTCTTTTTAAACATAAATATCTGCAGAAATAGCAGAGAGAACATAGACTGCCAGG